AGCCCGTCCTGGTGAGAGGCATAGGGACTCAGGGCGTGGTGGGGCCCAGGCCTGGGCTGGGGGGCTGGGGGGCTGGGGGTCTCTTCCCAGGCCCTCTCCGGGGTCAGTCACCTGGTCGAGTTGCCTCCTCCGGGCCTCAGTCTCCCTCCCCAGCCGGGCAAGGCCGACTGCTTGAGGCCAGCTGTTGCTTTTCTTCTGTTTTAAATGGTTTTCTGTGGAACACTGCTCCTGGAAATGTTGACAAGGGGTGTCCGGCATGTTCTGGGGTGCTCCAGACTTCCCAGGAACACGCCGGAGCCTCTGAGAACCTGCGGAGGAGATGCCCCCAAGCCTGGCAGGACCCAGCACGTCCCAAGCTTAGTGGAAAATAGGACACTTTGTTTCTTCCTGGCTGGCCTCCCTTTACTCAGCCTGCCCCTGCTCTAAGAGCCAAGCCCTGCCTGACCCATAACACCCGGGTCACCATGTCACCTGTCTAAGCGGCCTGTGCCAGGGTCCTGGGGCCACCTAACAAAGTACCAAACACTGTGCAGCTCCCAACCACAGGACTGACCGTCTCCCGGCTCTGGAGGCCGGAAGTCCAAGACGGAGGTGTGGGCAGGGCCGCGGTCCCACCAGGATCTAGGGAGGCTCCTTCCTCATCCTCTGCTGGCTCTGTCTTCACATGGTCTCTTCCTTGAGTGTGTCTGTATGTGTGTGTCTGTCTGGGTGTATCTGTGTGTGTGTGTGTGTGTGTGTGTGTGTGTCTCTCTGTGAGTGTCTGTCTGTGTGTCTGTGTGTGTATCTCCCTGTGAGTGTCTGTGTGTCTGTGTGTCTCTGTGTCTGTCTGTGTGTGTGTCTCTCTGTGAGTGTGTATGTGTCTGTGTGTCTGTGTGTGTCTGTGTGTGTGTCTGTGTCTCTGTGTCTGTCTGTGTGTGTGTCTCTCTGTGAGTGTCTATGTGTCTGTGTGTCTCTCTGTGAGTGTGTATGTGTCTGTGTGTCTGTGTCTGTCTGTGTGTGTGTCTCTCTGTGAGTGTCTGTGTATGTGTCTGTGTGTCTCTCTGTGAGTGTGTATATGTCTGTGTGTCTGTGTGTCGCTCTGTGAGTGTCTGTGTATGCGTCTGTGTGTCTCTGTCTGTGTCTGTGTGTGTCTCTCTGTGTCTGTGTATGTGTCTGTGTGTCTCTCTGTGAGTGTCTGTGTATGTGTCTGTGTGTCTCTGTGTCTGTGTCTGTGTGTGTCTCTCTGTGAGTGTCTGTGTATGCGTCTGTGTGTCTCTGTCTGTGTCTGTGTGTGCGTCTCTGTGAGTGTCTGTGTATGTGTCTGTGTGTCTCTCTGTGAGTGTGTATATGTCTGTGTGTCTGTGTGTGTCTCTCTGTGTCTGTGTATGCGTCTGTGTGTCTCTGTGTCTGTGTCTGTGTGTGTGCCCTCTCCTCTACTTACAGGGGCACCATCCGTATTGGTGGTAGGCCCCACCCCATTGCAGAATGGTCTCATCTTACAAATCCACCTGCAAAGTCCCACTTCCAAGTAAGATCACATTCTGAGGTTCTGGCGGATGTGGGTTTTCAGCATGCTTCAAATGTTCATGGCCATTTCCTCACCCTTAAGATGGGAAAACTAGGGAGACTGAACTTAGAGGACTGTTGCAAGAATTCAGGGAGACAGTGCAGGTGAGGCCAGCAGCAGGGCTGGGCATGGTGACAGAGGCCAGGGCATGTACTTTGTCAAAGCCTCCTCCAGGTCAGGTCCTCTCTTAGGGAACGTCGAATAATCCATTTCCCCTCCACTTCCAGCCCTCTTTGTTTCCGTTCCCACAAAGTGTCCACAGGAACAGGACTTGCAATCCACAGGCAAGCACCTCCCCCCCGTGGGGTGACCAGGGTCCTGGGCAGCGCCTGCCCCAGGGAGAGCAGGCCGTGGTCCCGTCCCTCCGGAGGCGGCTTGGTGCACAGCCGGCAGCAGCAGGACCACAGCTCAGGAGGTTCCTGGGCAAGGACTGGGGCCACCTGAGCCACCTCCTTCTCTTGCTGCCCCCACCCTTGGAAGGAGGCTTGGGGCCAGCCTTGGACCTGTAGGCTGTCCTGCGGGATGATAATAAACGGGGTCCTTTGGAAATAAACCAAAGGACAGCTGGCAAACACAAGCTCATCTAGGAGACCCCTCCCCTCGATCCCAGATGCTGAACATGGCACACGGGTAGGCAGGGCCCCAAGCGCAGGCTGCAGGCCACCCGGAAAGACCATACATGACCCTGGGCAGGGACAGGGCAGATCCCCCAAGGCTCCCACGCCTGGAGAGGAGGCTGCTCCCCTCTTAGGACACATGGGAGGTGGCTGCCTGCACCCTGCTTGCTCCCAACCCCCACCCCAATGTCAGCCCTCCCCAGAGATGAGCAAGTCCATTGTTTGGAATGGAAAGCTCCAGGGATTGTGCCTGCTACACACAGGCACACACACGCACACAGGCACACGTACACATGCACACAGGCACACACACAGACATGCACACAGGCACAGGCACACAGGCACACACACGCACACGGGCACACGTACACATGCACACAGGCACAGGCACACACACACATACGGGCACATGTACACATGCACACAGGCACACACACACACATGCACACAGGCACAGGCACACACACATGCAAACGGGCACATGGGCACATGTGCACACAGGCACACACGGAGGCACACAAGCACACAGGCACACACACAAAGGCACATGGGCACACGCACACAGGCACATGCACACAGGCGCACAGGCATACACACAGGCACATGCACACAAGCACATGCACACTAGCACACAGGCCCATGCACATGGGCACACACACAGGCACCACACGGGCATACATACACAGGCACATGCCCACAGACACGCACACCTGCACACAGGCACACTCACTAGCACACAGGCACATGCACATGGGCACATGCACCTGGGCACATGTACATGCACACACACACAGGTTCCCATACATGGGCACACACATAGTTACACGTGGGCATACACACAGGTACACACATGGGCACACACACAGAGCAAAACATGGACACACACACGTACACACATGGGCCCACACACACACAGGTGCACACATGGGCACACACAGGTACACACACATAGGTACACACACAGGCACACACATACACAGGTACACACATGAGCACACACACATGTACACACATAGGAACACACACGCAGGTACACACATGGGAACACACACACAGGTACACACACAGGCCCACACACACACAGGTACACACATGGGAACACACACACAGGTACACACATGGGA